TAGGGGTTCGTGTTTAAGGCATGAGGATTAGGGTTTAGGGTTTGGTGTCTAGCGTTTAGCTGCTGCAGCAGCAGCAGGAGGTACAGGGGCCCCCTGGCTGCATGCGACAGCAGCAGCAGCAGCAGCAGCAACAGCAGCAGCAGCAGCAGCAGCAGCAGCAGCAGCAGCAGTCGCTCGACACCTCTGCTGTCTCGCCCGGCTATTTGACTGTCTCTGTAGTTTTTGCTGCAGCAGCAGCAGCAGCTCTTTCTCTTCTTTTTTTTTGTCTTTATTTTATTTATTTCAACTCTTCTTTCTGCTGCTGCTGCAGTTGCTGCTGCTGCTGCTGCTGCTGCTGTTGTTGTTGTTGCTGCTGCTGCTGCAGCGCCCAGCACACTGCTGCAGCAGCTCACCTGCTGCTAGGGGCCCCTACACGGTACCCTCTCCTGGGGGCCCCTAAACCCTTCGGGGGCCCCTGGGGGCCCCATGACGTCAGCTCAAGCAGCAGAGACGGGGGGGCCCCCTGGGGGCCCCCCCGGGGGCCCCCCCGAGGCAGCTGCGCCTGCTGCAGCAGCTCCCGCTGCAGCAGCTCCTGCTGCAGCAGCTCCTGCTGCTGCAGCTCCTGCTGCTGCTGCTGCCGCTGCAGCAGCAGCTCCTGCTGCTGCTGCAGCAGCTCCTGCTGCTGCTGCTGCTGTTCCTCCTCCGCCTGTTGCTACACCAGCTCCTGCTGCTGAGAGGCCCTCTCAGGGGCCCCCACCCGCTGCAGGGGGCCCCCCAGCAGCAGCAGCTGCTGCTTATAAGCAGCAACCGGCAGCGCCAGCAGCAGCAGCAGCAGGAGGTGCTGGGGGCCCCCCTTGGGTATCTGGGGCCCCCCTGCATGCAGAGGGTACGGGGGCCCCCGGGGCCCCCGGGGGCCCCCCATATCCATATGCTGCCTATGCAGCAGGGGGGCCCCCAGGGGGGCCCCCCGGGGGGCCCCCCTTTCCTTTCTTCTCTTCTGCTGCACCTCCCTATCTTACTACTGCTTATACGCCATATGGGTACAGCTGGGGGGCCCCCGGGGGCCCCTATGTTCCTCTTGCTGCTTCAGGGGGGCCCCTGCCGGGTATGCAGCTGTACCCTCCTGCTGCTGCTGCTGCTGCGGCGCAGCAGCAGCAGCAGCAGCAGTTGCAGCAGCAACAACAACTGCTGCAGCAGGAACAAATACAGAATCAGCAGAAGCAACTGCAGCTGCAGCTGCAACAGCAGCAGCAACAGCAGCAGCAGCTGCAGCTCCTCCGCAGCAGCAGCGATGATACAGCATCCACAGCAGCAGCAGCAGCAGCTGCTGCTGCTGCAGCAGCAGCAGCAACAGCACGAGAGGAGAAAATAACAAATGGTGTTCGGTTCCTCTCTCATCCAGCAAGTAAACCCTAAACCCTAAACCCTAAACCCTAATATAAATAAATAAATAAATATAAATAAATAAATAAATATATATATATATATATATATTATGCATATGCCGCAGCATCTGCAGCATCTTTCGTGTTCTCTTTGCGGCAACCTAAAGGGTTTAGGGTTTAGGGTTTAGGGTTTAGGGTTTAGGGTTTAGGGTTTAGGGTTTGTGTGCAGTATCTGGTGCTGCTGGTGGTGTAAAGAGAGAATTTCTGCAGCGCAAAGGATTTACAAACGAAGAGATAGATGAGGCCTTTGCTCGTCTTGCCCTGCAGCAGCAGCAGCAGCAGCAGCAGCAGCAGCAGCAGCAGCAGCAGCAGGTGCAGCAGCAGGTGCAGCAGCAGCAGTTGCAGCTGCAGCAGCAGCTGCAGCTGCAGCAGCAGCAACCGCAGCAAGACACACAGCAAATTAGCCCTGTAAGATATTAGATTATACAGCAGCAGCAACTGCAGCAACAACAGCAGCAGCAGCAGCAGCAGCAGCAAGGGAGATTGCAGGAGAAGGTCCTAGAGCTGCTGCTGCTGTTGCTGTTGCTGCTGCTGCTGCTGCTGCTGCTGCGCGCTCAGCAACAGCAGCAGCGACAGCAGAGGGTAACTGCACTTGGCTGATAGTCGTATGCATGCATA